TGACGAAAGGTGTGGTTTGATTGGGCTGACGAATTGATCAAGCAAACGAGACAGGGGCATCATAAGACGTGGATCGAACTGCCAATATAAGTAAAAAAAATGGCAAGAAATTAAATAAAAATAAATAATTTTTTTTCTTAGGAAGCAATTGTAGTTCTGGATGGAGGATTCTCCATCTTCCCCAACATCATGATCATCTTTAAAAAGATTTCTCAGATCCAGTAGATAAGACACAAAAAGAGTACCAAAAATAAGGCGAGTGAAATTAGTGCATTATTATAATTACATTTTTTGTACTTTAGTTTCTCATTCTTATCGCAGTTTCGCTTCCAAAAAGTAAGAAACTTGGGGACTTCTATAAAATGACCAAAAAATGTCGACTTTGATCTTGACAAATTAGACGGTGGTGAAATGATCATCGCCGCCTGAGAATGTGAACAAAGAAGGGCTTAAACCTTTGCTTTTGTGGGACGGAGAGAAGCTAGAACTGGCCATCTACTTTGGCCGTCCACTCATCAAAACCGGCCACCTTGACTACTGAAGGCCGACCGCCAAAGGATGGACCATGAAGGGCCGATCACTAAAAGCCGACCATCAAGGGCCGACCTCCAAGGGCTGACCACCGAAGACCGAATGCCAAAGGGTCGCCCGCCGACTGGCCACCTGATGCTTGCAAATCACCTCAGCGATAAGCTCCACGGAGGATATGGTGTAAATCATTTCAGCAGTGAGTCTCGGCGATTAGCCCCGCGAAGGCAGTGACAAGATCCGCCTAAGTCCTCACAAAATGTGTGGTCCGACTGGGCTGACGATCTAATCGAGCAAACGAGACACGAGCACATAAGACTTGGACAGAACGATTAAGAAAATTCTAAAAATGGCAAGAAATTAAATGAAAATAAAGAAATTTTTTCTAAGGAAGCAATTGTAGTTTTGGATGGAGGATTCTCCATCTTCCCCCAACATCAAGATTATTTCCAAAAAGATTTCTCAGATCTGGTAGACAAGACATAAAAAGAGTACCGAAAAATAAAATGAGTGAAATTAGTTCATTATTGTAATTACATTTTTGTACTTTTAAGTCTCTCATTCTTATCACAACTTCGCTTCCAAGAAGTAAGAGACTCGAGGTCTTCTATGTATGATAAAAAATTGTCCACTCGAATCTTGACAAATCCGGCAGTAGCGAATGATCGTCGTCACCTGAGAACGTGAAGCAAAGAAGGGCTTCAACCTTTGCTTTTACGGGACAGAGGAAAGCTAGAACTGCCCGTCTACTTTGGTCGGCCACCCATCAAAACCGACCACCTAGGGTTGACTATCGAAGGCCGACCATAAAGGGCCGACCATCAAGGGTCGACCTTCAAGGGCTGACTACCGACAGCCAACCGCTAAACGACCGATCATCTTGGGCCGGCCACTTGATGCCTGCGAATCTAGCAACGAGAATGCTCTAGGGAGACAAATTTAAGTAGGGAAATGACCATGATACCCCTCACAACTTCCCTTAAAGCAGGGGCATAACTGTAATATTCATTTCCCCTCTTTCTCTCTCTAAAAAAGGAGGTCCTCTAGATGTAAAAGGGGTCCCCTAAGCTGTCTCTCAACCCCCAGGTAGAAGAGAACTCTCCTCTTTTTCCCACTTTTAACTTTTAAGTTGTGTGGAATAAAATGGGTCAAAGAGCCCAAGAACACTTCCATTTGCCTCCCACACAGGGCAATTCTTTATCTCTTTCTCTCACTCTATTATCTCCTCTCGAATTTTGCGTTCTATCCCTTGGGCACGAGCTAAAAGACGGATTTGGGTTTAACATGCACAAATCTCTTAAGTAAATCCAATGGTA